CGGTACACATTTACGTACAGATTGGTTGATTGGTAGACATGTAGGTACAGATTGGTTGATTGGTAGACATCTCGGTACAGATTGGTTGATTGGTAGACATCTAGGTACAGATTGGTTGATTGGTAGACATCTCGGTACAGATTGGTTGATGGGTAGACATCTAGGTACANATGGGCAGAAATGTAGGTACAGGTTGGTTGATGGGTAGACATCTGTAGGTACAGATAGGTAGACGGGTAGACATCTAGGTACATATTGGTGAATGGGTAGATATCTAGGTACGGACTGATTAGTGGGTAGACATCTGTAGGTAAAGATAGGGCGACGGGTAGACATCTAGGTATATATTGGCGAATGGGTAGAAATCTAGGTACAGATTGGTGAATGGGTAGAAATCTAGGTACATATTGGTGAATGGGTAGATATCTAGGTACGGACTGATTAGTGGGTAGACATCTGTAGGTAAAGATAGGTCGACGGGTAGACATCTAGGTATATATTGGTGAATGGGTAGAAATCTAGGTACAGATTGATGAATGGGTAGACATCTAGGTACAGACTGATTAGTGGGTACAAGTCTAGGTACAGATTGGTTGATGGGTATACATCTAGGTACAGATTGGTTGGTGGGCAGACATCTAGGTACAGATTGGTTAATGGGCAGAAATTTAGGTACAGGTTGGTTGATGGGTAGACATCTGTAGGTAAAGATAGGGCGACGGGTAGACATCTAGGTATATATTGGTGAATGTGTAGAAATCTAGGTACAGATTGATGAATGGGTAGACATCTAGGTACAGATTGGTTGATGGGTAGACATCTAGGTACAGATTGGTTGGTGGGTAGTCATCTAGGTACAGATAGGTTGTTGGGTAGACATCTAGGTAAATAATTGGTGATATGTAATAACTTAGCTAGGTATATAGCCAACAGATAGAAGCCAATGTGCAGTGACTTAGACAATACCCAGTTTGTGTTGTGTACTGTATTTGTACTGAAAATGGATAAACCAGACACATAAACGATTACATTTGAATGGTCCATGCGTGGTTTCAATAAGATATGGGAATTAATATGAGCATATATAATAACAATAAAGATTAATGCATGCATGTTAACGAAAAAACCTTTTATAATTGATTATCAGCAATTGTATTTTAAACACTGATAATTAACGCGGAGATAAATTCCGGATATGTACAATTGTGTACATGTATTTGCATGGTGAACATAATTAGCAGAATTACAGAGACAACTATCTTTACATCGGTTAGATACCATACACTGTTGACGTGTATCTACAACATACTATAATAGGATCCTTAACAATATACACGGGAACTTTACGTAACGTTCTACTGTATCACATATCAAATGGTAAATGTGAAGCACCATGTTGGGCCATGTTTATATATTTTTCGTTTCCAAATAAAAAAAAATCGGCTTTTATGAATCATGCATTTGTAAATTGTGTTTTGTTAATAATGTCAGAAACGCTTTTATCAAACGCTTCGGCCTCTACGATAAAGTGGCAATACTGATTTAAAAATGATGATTTGTAGACTATGTTCGCGAGATCACTCCATGCTGTTGGGTTTGATTTTAGAGGGTTTAGACTCTAGTATTTAACTTATTCTTTTCGAGGATTCGGGCTATAGTCTTCGTTATTATTTTGGTTGTTATTTATATGAATGGTTAACTTCCAGGCAATCAAAGTGGTTGAGGTGCCCAAAATTGACCTATGTCAACGAGACGATTAGGGACACTGTGACATGTAGCTGGGATGGTTTGCTTTCGGGGATTTTCACACCTGGGGTTTATGAGTTCCGGGTCAATGTTACTAATCAATACAGAAAGGATTCTGTGAGTTCCAGTCTTCACGCCGAGGTTTTCGGTAAGTAAGTCAAGTCTTCATCTGACTTATATGTGCAACGGAGAAATGAATAAGTAAACTCCGGGCAAGTATAAGTTAAAAGTAAAAAGAAAATATATCGGCATTAAAGAACAAAGGCGAATACGAGGCCAATACAAACTTGTATACCTTGCTACTTAGCTTTGCCATTACAGAGTTTGAAGGATACTGTAACAACTACACATACCTTACTACGTCATGTGTCCTAGAAGGACGAAACAGCCGTATGGTGCTGTGTAATTAATGTTTGACAAACTGTTTCTATTTCGCTATTTTAAAGGTGATATCACGTGTGTGCGTCTCACGTACATCATTATAGATACAAGGTTGTAAACTCTGCCGGTTGTTTTCCATACTCTGGATGGCCACACTGGTCGATTGAGTAGTGGCGCGGATTATTCATTATCCAATTGAAATTGACCAGTTCTCTTCTAACTTTAAAAAATACCTTTCATTAGGGAATTTACTCACCCGCGTCTGTTTCAATAGTTTTGAAATATTTTAAGTTCCATCTTTTTCGCACCCAGCATCACGAATGAGTCATAAACGAACAGTTTTGACATACTGTATCTATAAAACATGTTTAAACTGTTATCACATGTGTCTTTCGTTCATACTGTTAGGTATTTCCTCGTCGAATCATGTATTGTATAGATCAAGTCTACTTTACTTTTCCGTTTTGTGGTCACCATATTCAACATGAGTTCTTACAATGATGAACATAAGATAAACATGTGATTGCACCGATAAAATGTTGCAATCAATACAGTATGCCAAAAATATATGAATTACACTGCATCACCAAAACAGTGGAAATCCACATTGGTCTAATCTTCTGTTGAAGCAGACGGATAATTCATAAGTAGTCGACAATATGATAGGATGAAAAATATTTCATAATTTACTTTTAATAAAAAAAATCAGAATATTTTTTAATTAACAGTGAAAGCATTTAAATTATACACTAATTGGAGTATTTGAGTTATTTTAAGAGCTTAGCATTTTGCAATAAATTTCCTTGATCAGCATTTCCTGTTTAACGTGACGGTGTATATGTACCGCAGATCTCTGAGTATCATTGCTATGAGCTGAGCCGTGATCACTGTACAAATCCGGCAATGGATTGTTTATACTGAAATTATCAACTCTATAACGTAGCGCATTTGACAATTGTAGTAAAGTATATTCCTAAAAACACGGAATATATGGTAATATTGACAGGTGATGAAACCTTTGACAAAAGGGGATGCCAGCAAGTCCCGCTGGTTAATTAAAACAGTTTTTACGGATACGAGCAAGCTATACTTTAATTTTCCTAGTTGTGCTCAGTTTGATATTTCTGGTCATTAACATGAATTAAGAATTCCATATTTTCCCCAGTGCTGTTATGAAATTTTCAGAAATTGGCAATTATAAAGCAACGCCAGTTTTCGTAGGTTAGAGATTACTGAACAGAACAGAGGAATGTAAAACACACACATCATTGCTACTATAAAATTGGGTAAAAGATACAGTATGTCAAACGTGACTTACACTGCACCGTTCAGCCTTTTTTTTTTTTTTTTTTTTTTTTATCCTTTTAGGACATACTCTAGTGCTTAAAAGTTAGTTCGTGTAGATTTCAAGTTCATGCTCCTTTCATCAGAGTCTATGATATTGTATGGTTCAGTTTTACTGACAATTCATTTATACTCAAACATATGCCTACCAAATAGCAACATTTGACGAGCGACTGGTACTTGTGGGAAATTGTGACCGACTAGTTCCTTCATCAAACTATAATCCGACTAGTTCCTTCATCAAACTATCATCCGACTAAATCCTTCATCAAACTATAATCCGACTAGTTCCTTCATCAAACTATCATCCGACTGGTTCCTTCATCAAACTATCATCCGACTGGTTCCTTTATCAAGCTTTGCACGACTGGCCCCCTTATCAAACTTTGACGGACTTATCCCTTTATCATACTGTGACCGGGTGGTCCCTTTATCAAAATATGACCGGTCGGGTCCTTTATCAAACTTTGACGGACTGGTCCCTTTATCGAATCAAAACCGTCTGGTCCCTTCGTCAAACTGTGAAGGACTGATCTCTTTATCAAACTATGACCGGCTGGTCCCTTTATCAAAATATGACCGGTTGGGTCATTTATCAAACTTTGACGGACCGGTCCCTTTATCAAATTATAACTAACTGGTCCCTTTGTCAAACTATGAATTATTTGAAAATCTTTTCCCCAGTGAAACCAGACTCTGTCACAGATGTAGTGGTACGGAAAAGAAACAGCACTGCAATAACTCTGGACTGGAGTCACGAGGTTCATGAAAATGTGACGTACGAGGTGGTAAACAGCCCGTGGAGTACATCATGCGGTCCGACGATACCTCAGGTAGATGTTTCTCTGATGGCTTAAATGTTTGAATTACTTCCAATTATTCCTGCGACTTGTTTATCATATTTTATAGTTTTCATTTTAGCGGTTTCATTAGATTAAGTTATTTAAAATAGAGTATGGATTTTATTTCTAATATTTTCATTTTCTAATAGTTGATATATTTCTACCATACAGACCATACGAATATACACGGACAACATATCCTTTCGGAGACTGATAGACTCCCGGTTAGCGCCTGATAAGGCTTGCTCCCGTAGGCTCCTGACAATTTTTTTGTTTTTCACGAATATACTTATTTACCAACACTGAAGTTTACCATATTATCATTTGAATAGTTCGAGATCTTTCTCGTCTATAATTAGAGCTTTTAAAATTGGAACTTTGTTGTCATTTTTGGCTTTAATTTCGTATATCAGAGGACATAACATTAAACGCTGGGCGAGTTGTCTACAAACGCACACTCGTCCAGGTGTTATTCTGAATTTCTAGTCAGTTTTTACTAAACATTTCTTTCACATTTGACTTACATTTCACGCTTTTGCAGTTATACAAGAACCGCAATAATCATTTTTGGTCAATTATATTTCTGGGCTTGGATAGACGCCATCTTTGTTTTACCGTCAATTTTTGCCCCCATATATCTGACCCATCTCGGTATCCTCTCTTAGTTTTTGTTCATTCTTGCTAATATCATTTAAGTTGTTTGAGATCATTCTCGTCTATAATTAGAGTTTTGAATTTGAAACTTTGTCGTAATTTTTGGAATTTAATTTTCGTTTATCAAAGGACAGAATTTTAACCGCTGGGCGAATTGTCTACATTTTGTTTTTGTTGTTGTGACGAAGTGACGTCTGTAAAATAAATTAATCATTCATATTTGCACTTTTTGAAACATTCTTTTCACAATTGACTTACATAATACAAAAACTGTAATTATCATTGTGGTAAAAAAAAAAAAAAAAAAAAAAAAATCAATCAAAACAATGTGGGCTTGGATAGCACCATCTTTGTTTTACCGTCAATTTTTGCCCCACATATCTAAACCATCACGGTATCCTCTCACGGCTTTTGTTCATCTGCTCATGAAATATTATTGTTTTTCTTCTGGAAAATAAATATATAAATAGAATTTTAAGGACAAATTTTGTGAATCGTCATATTTTTGATTTGTAAGAGGCACAAATTAAATTTGGAACCACCAGCAGGCCTGCAGCATAAATGCAAATAATTTATAGTACTTAAGATCAATATCAGTATTATATTTTGACTTAATGATTCTTGATAACAGTTCAGAATAATAACGTTATTACTCTAAGATATGAATAAAACTCTCTGATGCCGTTTGTAGTAATTTTCTGATGCCATTTGCAATGTGAGTGAGTCCAATTCCAGTATCGGTATCAAAATCAGGCATTTGGTAGATATCTTCTTTGACATTTTGTACTATTGTACTACTATTTGTTCTTGTTTCTCTTATGTTGTAAATACTAGAAGTTGTACATTCATATATGTTTAAATATAGTAGATCTGTTCTCCTGGCACTTAGACCAGTGAGTCATAATATTACGTCACATCTTTTAGAGGATTTTAAGGCATCAAATTCGGAGAAAAACTTGCGCACTAGACGTGGGACACGAGCAGGAAAGGGTGCTGTTAGGCGAATACCAAGTGTTATCGGTGTTAAATCAAACGGAACCAGTGGTTTTACCCACTTGGGCCTGAACACTGATAACCTCATCCATTTGGTCACTACAAATGGTCTGTCTGCCTCGCACTCTTTCTTGCAGGGCCAAACTGCGCTTACAGAAGTATCGGGCATCGACACTATTGTGCATTCTCGTAACGATACTTCCACACGGATTCCGACATCATCAGTATCGTTCGAGAATTTAAGAATAAGTCATTGTCCATCGGGGATTTTGTAACATCTCAGGACATTGACATTCTTGCATTGGCAGAAACCTGGTTAGGTTCAGATATCGATGACCAGGTCCTAGCTGAGCTAATACCAACAGGCTATGAATTCCACCACAATGCTAGACTCGGCAAACGGGCCTTAGTGTGAGACATCTCTCTTCCAGCCATGATGCTGTATACACACACTTTGAGCACATGACTTGTTCTGTCATTGCTGGTGATAAACAATTTAGATTGTGTATCATTTACAGGCCTCCACCATCTAAACAGAATGCTTTCCAAAATACAGTGTTTTTTGATGAATGGTCTACCTTTTTAGACCACTAAGTTGTTGTACCACAAGAGATTAGTATCACGGATGATCTAAATTTCCACTTAGACGATTTATCTAATGTTGATGCTCGCCAGTTATCTGGTCTACTAGATTCCAGGGGTCTGATTCAGCACGTGACAGAAGCTACACACACCCATGACCACACACTGGATGTGGTCATAACGAGGGAAGATAGCTCAGTCATTCATGGCTAAGTGATGTAAAGGGGAACCAATCTGGTGATCATCTTGCTGTCCACACAACACTGAATTGTAGTAAGCCAGCTCGTGCAAGGAAAGAAGTGAGCTTCCGGAAATTCCGCGAAATTTCAATACCAGATTTCAACAATGACATTCAGTTTTGTTCCGCCCTTCAATCTACTGAAGGCGAGATTGACGATCTTGTTGAAGCATACACATTTGGTATAGAAGCCCTTATAGAGAAACAGGCACCTCTGCAAACTAAGGTGATAACTGTGGGACCAAATGCCCCGTGGTATAATGAAAATCTCCGCGTGGAAAAACAGAAACGTAGAATAGCAGAGAGACAATGGCGACGGACCAAATTAACCGTTCACCAACTGATTTATAGAGAGCAACGTCGGCTAGTTGGTTCACTGCTCTTTCAGTCAAAGAAGGCATATTATTCGGAAAAAATCGAAGAATGTGGCAAGGATAAAAGACAACTTTTTAGACTCACCAAAAACCTAATGGGACAGAAAGGTGAAATCATCCTACCAAGCTGTAATTCTGAAAAAAGACTTAGCAAGCAAGTTCAGTGATTACTTTCAAAATAAAATCAGCTCAATCAGGAAAAATATTACCCAAGTGAACACCTCTGCTGACATTGACATCTCTGTCATGACTGCTGATATTGCATTTGATGGTGAACCATTGACAAAGCTCTCACCAACAACCCAGGACGAATTGCGCAACATTATCATGACCTTGCAATCGAAGTCCTGTGAGCTTGATCCACTGCTTACAGACCTATTAAAGCAATGTCTTGAGGCACTGCTTCCTTTGATTACCGCAATCATGAACAAATCATTGGTCGAGTCAAAGGTTCCATTATGTTTCAAGAAGGCACATGTCAGACCATTGTTAAAAAAGCCTGGAATGGACAAGGAGGAGTTGAAAAACTACCGCCCAGTTTCAAATCTGCCTTTTCTGTCTAAGATCTTGGAGAAGGTTGTGTCCCGGCGTTTAGAGGTTCATCTCCATGCAAACAGTCTCCATGACAACATGCAATCGGCCTACCGCATGGGACACTCTACTGAGACGGCCCTCCTACGTGTACATAGTGATATAGCTTCTGCATTGGATAACAAGTGCAGAGCGGTGCTTGTCATGCTGGACTTGTCAGCTGCATTTGACGTCATCGACCATGGCATACTTTATAAACGTCTGGAATACTCTTATGGAGTGACTGATACCGCACTATGCTGGATACAGTCATACCTGAGTGAACGACGACAGTGTGTTGCCATCGGATCTGCCACCTCACATGACAAAGTACTAGATTTCGGGGTTCCTCAAGGGTCGGTGTTAGGACCACGAAAATATTGTATGTACTCCAAACCGATTGGAGAGATTTGTCGTCGCCATAGCCTTCGCTATCATTGCTATGCTGATGACACACAAATTTACATGGTCATAAAACCACAGGACAGTTGGAATACAGTCTCAGAAAGTCTGGAAGCTTGTCTGACAGATATCAGTATCTGGATGAACGCCAACATGCTTAAACTTAATCAGGAAAAGACGGAACTAATCGTCTTTTCCCCAAAGTGTCAGCAAACAATGGCTCTCCAGCTCAAGGTTGGTGCCAGAACTATTGAGACTGTTCCAGCTGTTAAAAACCTAGGGGTATACTTTGACAGTTCTCTGAACATGGAGAAACAAGTGAACGCTATTGCCAAATCCTGTTACTACCAGATCAGGAACATCGGCTGTATTCGGCAGTTTCTAACTGCAGATGCATGCAAGATTTTGGTGCATTCACTTGTTACCTCTCGGTTGGATTATGGTAACGCCCTGCTCTGTGGTATATCTGACAAACTAACTAGTCGTCTGCAGAGGGTTCAGAACACTGCAGCACGGCTAGTTACTCGTACTCGAAAGAGAGAGCACATCACACCTGCGCTTTATTCGTTGCACTGGTTACCTGTACGATACAGGTCGCAGTACAAAATTCTGGTATACACATACAAGGCACTGAATGGAACAGCTCCTCAGTACCTACAGGAACTTGTTACCCTGTATCAGCCGTCAAGATCACTGCGGTCGGAGTCAGAATCTTTGTTGTGTGTCCCAAAATCTCGTACTGTGACCTACGGAAACAGATGCTTTGGGAGGGTTTCGGCTACGTTGTGGAATAGCTTACCATCTGCTATTAGGAAGTCGAATACCCTGGCCAAGTTCAAGAGGGACATAAAAACTCACCTCTTCACGTCTGCATTTTAGAATCTTTGCAAAGACGTCATGTAAATACCACCCTTTTATTTGTTCAATTATGTGCACATTGCTTGCTTAAATGTATAAAAGTGATTGTAAGCCTTTGTTTTTTGTTTTCACAATTATAACCATTACTATTATCCATATGTTGTAAAGCGCCTTAGAGTAATTTTACAAATTATATAGGGCGCTATATAAATGTTGTATATTATTATTATTTATTATATATGATAACGTACTTTTAAAATATGACTAAACCTCTCTTTTATCTTAAAATTATTCAGAAAGTGTTGACCAATCTGACGTCAGTGACCGTATCGGGACTCAAACCATTCACCAACTACACACTGAGCATCTCATCCTGCCCAGTGATACATGGCAACATGGAACATCATCATGGTGATCCAACAACAATCAATGTAACCACGCATGCGGACGGTATGTCTGTCTAATGTAACAACACACGCGGACGGTATGTCCGTATCATGTTACAACACAGGCGGACGGTATGTCCGTTTAATGTAACAACACAGGCGGACGGTATGTCTGTCTAATGTAACAACAAAGGCGGATGGTATGTCCGTATAATGTAACAACACAGGCGGACGGTATGTCTGTCTAATGTAACAACAAAGGCGGACGGTATGTCCGTATCATGTAACAACACAGGCGGACGGTATGTCAGTCTAATGTATCAACACAGTCGGACGGTATGTGCGTATAATGAAACAACACAGGCGGACGGTATGTCTGTTTAATGTAACAACAAAGGCGGATGGTATGTCCGTCTAATATAACAACACAGGCGAACGGTATGTCTGTACTATTAAACAACACAGGCGGAAGGTATGTATGTCTAATGTAAATCACACAAGTCAACGTTGTAACCACACAGACGGACGTGTGTCTGTCTAAATATACCTCTAAGGCGGACGGTATGTCTTTGCTAATGTTACCAAGAGGTCGGAGGAGTTAAATCTGTCAAGCACACAGGCGGATAGTACGTCTGTATTGTTTATATAACCACACAGGCGGAAAGTACGTCTGTATTGTTTATATAACCTCACTGGCGGATAGTACCTCTGTATTTTTTTTATAGGCTCACAGGCGGATAGTACGTCTGTATTGTTTATATAGGCTCACAGGCGGATAGAACGTCTATATTGTTTATATAACCTCACAGGCGGATAGTACGTCTGTATTGTTTATATAGCCACACAGGCGGATAGTACGTCTGTATTGTTTATATAACCTCACAGGCGAATAGAACGTCTGTATTTCTTATATAACCACACAGGCGGATAGTTCGTCTGTATTGTTTATATAGGCTCACATGCGGATGGTACGTCTGTATTGTTTATACAACCTCACAGGCGGATAGTACGTCTATATTGTTTATATAACCTCACAGTCGGATAGTACGTCTGTATTGTTTATTTAACCTCACAGGCGGATAGTACGTCGGTATTGCTTATATAACCACACAGGCGGATAGTACGTCTGTATTGGTTATATAACCACACAGGCGGATAGTACGTCTGTATTGTTTATATAACCTCACAGGCGGATAGTACGTCTGTATTGCTTATATAACCACACAGGCGGATAGTACGTCTGTATTTTTTTATATAGGCTCACAGGCGGATAGTACGTCTGTATTGTTTATATAGGCTCACAGGCGGATAGTACGTCTGTATTGTTTATATAGGCTCACATGCGGATGGTACGTCTGTATTGTTTATACAACCACACAGGCGGATAGTACGTCTGTATTGCTTATATAACCACACAGGCGGATAGTACGTCTGTATTGTTTATATAACCACACAGGCGGATGGTACGTCTGTATTGTTTATATAACCTCACAGGCGGATAGTACGTCTGTATTGCTTATGTAACCTCACAGGCGGATAGTACGTCTGTATTGTTTATATAACCACACGGGCAGACAGTATGTCCATCTAAGTTAATCACACAGGCGGACGATACGTCTGTCTTCCTCATTCAGTAATGACACTGCTAAAATACGTATGATATCATACACTCAAGTATACTTATACCAATTGTGTGACAGTAGGAGTTCTGAAATAGACATTCATCTTTGTGTAACACAAAATAAGTATGTTCCCATACTATGTTGTACATGATTTAATACCACGTTGAAGTTGAAGAAAGAAATGTGTTGATTAGAATACAATAGCTATGTAGGAAAACATGTTTTATAAATAGTATGCATTATCTCTTTGTTGCCAGTCCCACGATCGAATCCCGATCTGGATCCAGGATCCTTCTCTGTCAACGTAATCAGCAGTAAATTTGATCTTTACTGGCAGGTATAAATACTAGTTAAGTTTATTCATAATTTAATTCCGTCATATAAACATGTACCAACATATTTTTTCATTGAATATTTAAATAGTGTAATTATATATTCCAGCTTTCCCTATCCAATGATCCGTAATACGGGTGCTAATAATAATGGGAAATATCAGCTATCCTCCCCCATAAAACAGATACCCACACTTCCGGTCAGAGAAAATATTCAAATCACTACTCTCTGTCACGCCCTCAAAGAATGGGACAATTTTATTACTCCGCATTTTTAATTCCAACATTGGTAATCAGTTAATAAATCTGAATCATAATTCCGACATTGACCATCATTAATTTATTCGATTTATCAAAACAACATTTAGTGGTATGATATAATTTATTTATCTATTTTGTTGTTTACCTCATAAGCCGACAAACCCTTGCCAACAGAACGGGCCAGACTTTAAGTACGTTGTCACCATCACCTACAACAATGATACAGAAGAGCACTTAGAGAGGATGCCTGACGATTTTACTGCTGATATACCTGTAGATATTAATGACACATTTAGAATTCAACTACAGGCATGTAATAGCATAGGCTGTGCGAGGGAGCCGCCCTCTTTTCTAATCTTCTCCATCAATCGTAAGTGTTTAAATCACGCTCGTACTAGATCACTGAAACAAGAAATTCACATTCAAATTACAAAATAATATCATTAAGGTGAATTCAAAAACGCTTGTTAAAAAAACAAAATTTGTTATGCCATAATACCTAGGTACACGATTTAGGAATGAAGTATTTGCAGTGATTATATATATATATATTTCTTGGCTTTGACGAAAAACAGATGCAGTTCCAGGGTACAACTTCTTTGATTACACATACATACGTATATCACAAACATGTTGAATCCATTTGTTCGTTCGTCACAGGTCCAGCAGAGCCTGCCAATGTGACAGTGAACGCCATTAACAACACTTTGGTACACGTCTCGTGGCACCATAACAACAGATCTGACGTCACAGACTATACCATACATTGGTGTCTGACGGCGGGTAACCACAAATGCGTGGTAAACAGACTTTTTGTATAATATATAGATCGCTTGTGCTTAGTTCCGCAACTCTACATTTAAAAATTATGAACAGTTATTAAGACGAATATGATTTTGAATGGATTCTTGTTTAAAGAAGAAAATTGGAAGAGAGATATATAGTTATTTAACTGTTTTGTTGACCAATTACATGTTATTGTTAAAACACTCATTTAAATGACCTCAAAGTAACCTTGAACACAAATTGATAGCGTACCTTTCGTGTATCTAATTCTTATCTTAGTATATCAAGATGCAACTAACAGTTCTTAAATCAAATATTGATTAGTCCGTCACATAATGTACGTTACAATAACAAACATTTAGTTTTTGTTTAAATTGAGATGAATACTTATTTTCAGTCCGCCATGAATAACCGAACTATCTTGTGGAACGAGAGTAGTTTGTATGTGCCCCTCCCCGGCCCATACAAAGATTATTTGATTGGAGTATCCACTGAGGCGGAGTCACGTGAAGGACTTATCAGCTCGGGAATCACCTGGAGCACGTGCACACAGTTTAAATATGGACGTGAGTTGGTAGTTTGATATAGACTATAAACATGTAAAAAGATATGTAAAAAATACTTACTGCGTTTGGCATTCTGCGTCATCTTGATAAGTTTTGAAATAAGTTTTTCATTACCTCATAATTCTAGTAATTATCTTTCATCACAATTAACGTAATAGACTCTGCTTATGGACTATCATTCCACATGTAAGCCCAGACGGTTGATCTGGTGTCGTTAGGGCCCGAGCGAATCCAGGGCAGGGTCCTGGTGGGGCCTCAGGGGAAAATTCTTAGGATTTTTGAAGCCTGAAAAGTGATACATGAGAGATATATTTCAAGTGCCAAATGAGTTTAAATAAAGTACATCACAAAACATATGCCTTATCCGGTCGTTTTGCTTTAGCCAGGCAGAATTAAGCTTTCTCATTTCTCGCCATTTGATCTTGTAATACGATAGTCTAAAGTAACGCTACATTGGCCACGTTAATCACGAAAATGTATTTCTATATCGCAGTTTTAATCCAGTTATATAAACGCACGTGACTCTCTCTTGACCGGTTTAATTAAAAAGAGCGCGTTGAAATTCGGAAATCAGACCATACGAGCAACTTTATTTGAACATGTACAAATGTATGATATACTAACCTCATGTGTGGTTATCAAAAACACGTTTCTCATAAGACAAATCAGTCTCGTGCGGCTTTATTTCAGATATTCTAGTTATTATATGACGCAGAATATATTCCGGAAAAGATATTACACTATTATAAGTATTAAGTTTATACTTGAATGACAAGACAATATGATCCTGTTGACATGATATCCTCTGTTGTTATTGTTTAGTGATTACTGCTTCAAAATGTGGTTTACATGGATAAAGTTTTTTTCTTTGGCCGCTACACCACTCCTCCGCTAGGTTGACTGTGCCCTAGTAGCTGGGATGTATTCTGGCATTGTTAACATACTCACTTTGTTTATTTAAACAGGTGCTTCTTTATTTCGTGATTCTAGTAATAATGTATACTGCTAGCTTAGTATGGAATACATTATACTACTAGCTTAGTATTGAATACAGTATACTGCTAGCTTAGTATAATTATATATGATGTCATATTTAAACCGAATTTTAACCAATCTAATTTCAAGTTGTATGTAAGGTAACTCTTGCATGATCTGTATGTTTCAGTACCCAACATGTCCATGGATACATCGATAATCTACACAGACAGTGGCCTCCTACTGACCTGGACCCAGCACCGGAAGTGTAATCCTGAGTATGGTGTGGCAGACATTGCTATAGTCACGATCCTGAACACAGATATAAGACACAAGACTGGTTTGTACAACTAGTTTATAACAGCAAGTAGCTTACTTTGCTCCCGAAAGAAAAAAGGGGAACTAACGTTAACACACCAAGACCAAATTGCACAAAATTGTCATTACACTATACCTTTACTTAAAGAGACATTAAATCAGACCACAGGTATTATCCCCGTCTGTCAATAACCTATAATATACATATACTTGTAGGTGTTTTGACAGACGAAGTTAGTATATGTGGTCTGAAGGGGCATTGTAATACTCTCTGTAAAATACTGTAACGGATGCGTGCCTACAGTTCGTTACCAAGTTCTTTCTTGGACCCAGTAATTGTTGTAACAAACAAGTGCCGACAATATATACAAAATAATGGCCGTCTTTCTGACTCAAATAACTATTACCTAATCTACACCCGGTAGATATTTTACATTAATATACCTCTAACACTAATATAGTCAAAAAGCCAACTAAAACAACTGTATCACAATATATCCGTCACCCTGTATCAACAGTAAATAGCCCCTTACTGCGACACCCGTGACTGTGTACACCCTTTACCGCGACACACCTTGACCACGTCACCCTTTACCGCGACTGCCGTTTGACCAAGTCACCCTATAGCTAGCCACTATAAAACCTATGCCTTGGTAAACCCTGTGTCTTGGTACCTGACACCCTGTATCAACAGTACGTCGCCCTGTACTGTGATACCCTGTGACTATGCACACTATACTGTAACACAATTTATTTTGACCATGTACTATAAAGGAATACAGTGGAACCCTAGCTTATGCAGCTAGGCCCAAACTTATACAGCTTGGTCACTGATTACCTTTTTAGAGTTGTTCCTTCTTCTTCGACCGCCAGAGCAAGAGAAGCTTTTCATCTGATGGAACCTCTATTTATATACCTAGCCATCCAATGAAATGCCTTCTTTCATTAGCCAATCAAAACTACTCTTACTTCCTAATTACAAAGAAATAACTAAAGCAAGTCTATACTAACGATCATTTATTGAACAATGTAATTAACAAAGAATCAACCGCTTCATTACCCACGCCTCTGATTCAATGCGTCCCGCATTCACAGTAAGTAAAAGAGCAAATGTATATTTTTGTTT